CAACGTTTTCATCACCAATAACGTCTCTTTCAACGTTTTCATCACCAGTAACGTCTCTTTCAACGTCTTCATCTCTAACAGGCTCAATTGAACTTTCAACATCGCTCATGTTTAAGTCATTAGCAATTTCTTCCTCCGGAAGCTTCCGCAAGTGTTCATGTGAGTATTTGTATGTCCTTTTGCTACTCACAGATTTCAATATGTATCTGTCTCCATCCAAAACCTCTGTCACCAAAAACGGACCACGGAACTTAGGATCTAATTTTGTCTGATGTCGCTCTTCATTTTTAAGTAGTACATAATCGCCAACTTTATGTCTAACAATTTTCGCTTTACCTTTATCAAATCTTTTCTTGTGTTAGGTTTTGGGGATAGGGTTTGGGGCACCTTCCAAAATTTTTCTTCTTGTCGAAAGAGGTTCTGGCACCAAACTTTACGTTTCTTAATATAAATTTAGAGGATGTTCATGAAATGTCTATATTCATCTAGAAATATTTTGTACATATATAAAAACCAAACAATTGGTTAAGCAGCCTAAGAACATTTCAAAACAAGCTTCAGTTGTCATGAGCTTTTTATAAAAAAAAGCTAATATTTTTGTCAGATTCGAAGCGATTCAGTAGCGCATTTGACGTTGATATAAAAGGGAAAAAACTAAAGGCGTGCCCCGTTTCCAACGATGAAATTTTTTTGCCCTTGCAAAACTTGGACCACTCTAATATACATACATACATATGTATGTCTGTCCTTACAAACACATATATTTACAACTGGTTGTTTAGGTATGTATGCCCTATATAGCATACTTATGGGCACTCATATTTATTATCAGCGAGTTAGGTTACCGCCAAATCTACTGGGGGTTCTTCACAGACACGCTCTGGTCATATACTATTTGCTTATACGCTGGCAAAATTATGCTCTGTTAAGTACATACGAGCATGTTATGTGACAGTGAATTTATGCAGTAAAAAACAAATAGACTCACTCTATTGCAGCTTTTCTTGTTTGCATAATTTGTTGCCTGAATGGAAAACAATGCGCACATTAGGAATATACTGGCAAATAATTCTAGGACATTTGCTGATATGAGAAAATCCAATATAAAATAGCACTCAAATTGTATACGCATACATACGTATGTACATAATATATGTAGATGTGTAGGTAATTTGCATATACATATGTACTTATTTATATGTATTAACTAGCTATATTTGCATTTCGTACTTTCAGGCAATTTACTCAGCCTACATTCATACGACATTTTGTCTTTGCTTATGCTGGCAGGAGTTTACTCACAATTTAATAAAATTGTTTTATTAAATAAACTAATCAATATTATTTATTACGGTAATGTTTGCTTGTGTATATGTAACTATACAAAGGATTAGCACAGTCTTTGTGTTCGATAGATAGATAGTATCGTCTAAAAATCAATAACGATAAATAAAGCAAATGCATATCATAACAAATAGTTCGTAGATAAAAGAAGCGTCAAAACAGTCAGCCACAATATAACCTCAGACGTCAGCGAGTTTAGTGAAATGCGTTTGCCAAATTATTATTGTCTAATAAATTTGCAATATTTGTATATGTATACATACATATGTATGTATATTAGGGAGGTCCAAAATAAGTAAAGTCGGAAATTTAATGCTCTCACCCCTAGTATTTTTCTATATCGAAAAAAGTTCACCCCTATTTTTTTATTTTGAAATCAATAGTTGGAGGTTGCTCAACTCTTCGTAGAAATGGTATAAAATTCTTGAAAAACAATATTTTTCGATCAGAAAACTCTGGTTCGCTTCAGGAGACTTCCAATAACAATACCCAATAGTTTATTAAACCATTTTTTTAATACTAACGATTTTTTATTTATCCCCCCCTTGTATTTTTTGGCATTTTCTTGTTTTTTTGGCGAACATATAAAATATAGCTACTATGAAAAAATGGTTGAATAAATAATTGGGTATTATTATTTGGAATCTCCTGAAGAGAAACAGAGTTTTCCGATCGAAAAATATTGATTTTCAAGAATTCCATATCATTTCTACGAGAAGTGTTTTTTTTGCACACATGGGAAACGTTAAGCGCTTTGAGCGACCTCTAAATATTTTTTTTTTTTTTTTAATGGGGTAGGTATATTTTTTCGGTATAGATCCTAGGGGGTGAGAGCATACAAATCCCGACTCTACTTTTTCACATGTATTTTTGGACTACCCTAATACACATTCATTGGCCTCATTCAACTCATCACAGCCAGCTTTGAACTGTACACTCATTATACCGTCGGCACCTGAGGCTTTGCTGACTTTAAACTTTGTTTATTGCTATTCTTACCTCATCTAGGCCGAGTGGAGGAACGTGAACTTCGTTCCTGTACATTAGTCCGCGTTATTCTTCATCAAACGTGCTAGTTATGTACGTTGCCTTTCAACAGCGTTGAGAAGTGTCCGCTCAGTATTTCTAGTGTACTCTGTAAGAGCAAAAATCTCTGAAACGGTTGTACGTTTGTACTCGAATACCCAAGTCCGGTTTCAGATACTTTCCTCCCCTCTTCTCCTGCATCCTCATTATGATTACCATTCCACCCATCATGCCAATTGCATAGATCTAAGCCTGAAAACAACTTTCAACTTCTTCCGAAACGTGGTTGACAACTTACACGAGTTTTCCAATTTCATTAATAAATATTACAACCCATTTATTGACAGTGATTAGAAGTTTGTTGCATATTTTTTACTCTAATGAAAGTGAAACTTAAAATCCCCTTAAAAACTAACTTCATTAAACAGAGTTTTGCAATGTACATACATAAATATAACCCCCTCAACGCAGCAAATTTGACTGTCATTTATATTTAAAAGTGAAAAAGATTTATCGAAAAACCACATTCCTTTATTACTTTAAAATAAAACAAATAAATTATGCGTAAAGCAGCAATAATAGCCATTTATCATTTTAAATGTTTTCACTATCCTTCGCATATATCACACGCGCAGCTTCCGCTAACAAAGTGCTAGAAGCGATTCAAAAAGTGTTTGTACAAAAGAGTATGAAGTGTAGCAACATGTGAAGAATACAAATATGTATTAAGAGAAATTTTTAAAAAATAAAAGAAAACATTGAATTCATAAATATGTATAGGAACTCCACATAAATAAGAAATATGTACAATAAAAACGGTTTTTCCATCATAGCTATTACCTCAGAGCGGATGTGGAAATTTCTCATAACAAAAGCTTTCATGCTGCGTGCACTTTCACAAAATCGCCGCCCACCCGGTGGTATGAGTGACAATGCAATAGGATTTTCCAAAATTTCTTCTTGTTATTGCCTTACAGTGTATGTGTTTTTAT